CTAGCTGCTGTGGGTGTGCGTAATTATTTTGTATATATTGCGTATACGTCATGTGGTGCGAACGCATTGTTTGCCCTCGCTAGAAAATGGCTTCAGCTGCAGGAAGACAAATAATGGGTTGGTCTAACCATAAATTTACCAAGTCATGTTTGTTTTTGTATTTTTTCCCCTTGTACAACTTTGTTGATTATTTTAAGTGAGTTTAACGTCTTTGTCTTGGCTAGATACATGCACATATACATATATGTATTACTTGAACTTACATTACCACTTAGATATTCCTTTAAGGCTGAGTGACATGAACTCATTGTCAAGGCAGGCATTATGTGGCTTTTATCTGTGTATGCTCTGGTCGACACACCTAGGCGATTGCGTGAGTCGAGTTAACTGCAATTGACAGCCTGTTGTGGCAAGAACAAATGTGTATGTGACACATATTGCGCATTCGCCTCGTGCGTCAACACTTTTCTGCTGCCCGTCGAGACGGGCGCTGGAGAACATTTCTGATGAGACAGCTTCCTGCTTGCCTGGCGCCCTTCAGCCATATGCAGTGCTTAGCACAAAATGCTTTTCTTGCTTTTATTTTCTTTTTGTTCTCCTTCTGTTCTTGTTGTTGTAGTTCTTATAGGCGTGTCTGCGTGCAGTGGGCTTAGTATTCGTTACATCACGACATCACAGCTGACAGGCAGGCGCAGGTGCGTGTCAGATATTTTCATAGCCGGCGACATTTATGCAACATTCATTAACTGTGCCACACACGATACTCGCCGCCCTCAGCCCCATCGCTCTGTGGGCCTGGCGTAACTTAACACATGGCCCGACTAACCGCAGTCGATTTAGTCAGTCCAAGGAGCTCTTGCCGAGTGTGTGTGTGTGTGTGTGTGTGTTTACTCAGTGTGACAAAGTCCACAACAGGCCGCAAGTGCAGCATGAGGCATGTAGCGCACCTTATTTATGTTGCCTACTTTTGTGCGCTCTCTCGTCGTCAATTAAAAGAGCTGCAAACTTTGGAAATAGCTTTGAGGACTCTTAGATAAATACTGAATGTGCAAAGCAATCGAAAAGGAAATAAACAAACTTTGTTACGCTGTTTTTGCAGCCCACACAATTAAGAGCCATTGAGTGCTTAAAGGGTATAGAATGGAGTGAAGTGTGATGGATAATAGATTGCTGTGCGACACGTCTTTACGGTCGGGTGAAGTAATAATAAAGCTCTGAAATGTATTTGAGTTCAGAAATAAATTTTGTATATGGGAAAACATAGCTAAGACAAACCTAATGCTTTGCAATTTATTCAAAAGTATTTTCAACTTCATATACAACTATCTAAATATTAAGAAATGAATTGACTTGGAATAATAATAATATTAATAATACAAAATCAATCTGCATTAGCCAGAATAAAGTACTATAGAGATTGTAAAGCAAAGCCCACTGAGCTCCGTTGCTTAGCCAGCTGATTCATAGAGCCTTAATGTAGCAGAGCAAGTCTATGATTTCAGGCTCGTCGGGGCTCGAGAAGCGTGAATATCACACATACGCCACGTTGCACGTGTCAGACTACTTAATTTAGTTGCGCTGTCACTGTGAGTAAATATCCAAAAATAAGCAAATAAAAAAACACTTGGTAAGCCAGCCGCGGGCAATTCATTACTATTTGATGTTGGAACAATTGGAATTTATGTGTCCTGCAGGGCTAGAATAATTGACAAGCTACAGTAGCAACAGCAGCAGCAACAGAAGCAGGGCACTGGCCGCCCTGTGTAGGACGTAAGAAGCAGACCCATAATTCACTCGACTCCCTAGCTGTCTCAAGTAAGCAACACCAGGCACACACCAGCTTAGACATATTTGGTTTATTGTGCGGACCATGTGTGGCGAAATCGCAGCCAAATTGTGCCACGGCCAATGGCTGCGCACAAAAGGTCAAAAGGTGCTGGCCAAATTGGCCAAAAGGGTTCGCCACAATAAACGTGCAAGCCATTGTCAAGCTGTCAAATCCTTTTACGCTCTCACTTCGTGTCTCCTTAATATCAATTCTCTGCAACATATTTACTCACTCACTGCTGCACTATTTAACAGGCTGCACGATTCTCCTTTGTGGCTCTGCTTCTCCTCTTCCTCAGCCCCATTGACTGCCAAGACCTTTATGGTTTATTCACCAATTGATTATCGTTGAATTGTTCATGACTTTCATTGCGTTTCTATTGAGCAACGTTGACACTTACCTAATTGAGTTCCACTTATTAAAATTATGTTCGTGTCTACATTACTTTAAGTATTATAACACGTATTTATCTTATATATCACAAGTCATAAATGATATATCAATTATTTCTTATTGTTGTTAATAATAGAGGAAAATTGATTAATGCATTGTGGGCTTTCCCTCAAATCTGTGAATGGTTCCTAAAGATAAATAAAGAACCCGTCTATCATTTCTAATGAATTAGCATATTTAATATACTAAATTGAGTTAAATACCAGATCAAATAAATTCTTCATATTATGCATTGCAAATTAAATTAACTATAATCCATTAGTTAACAATGTAGCTTTAACGGTATGACATGCTTATGGTCATAAAAACGTGTGTAAATTAATTTTGCTAATTTAATCCTTAATAAATACGTGTCAATAAAAATGTAATTTAATACACATAATTAAAAATTCCTGTATATTTGCGGTTATAAATAACATATTTTATGCAATTTACATTTTAATACAAGTAAATATAAAAACAAAAGAATGCTAGACTAGGTAAATAGTTGAGAGCTCTCTGTAAATGTCATATTAATTGCTTTCATAATTATAAATGAAATTTGGCCACATATGATAGCTTTTAAATAACGGTAAATCGTGTTATTTACTTCGGTTGAGAGTCCTCAGTTGAACTATTCGTGTGATACGCTTGCAACGAGAGAGAAAGAGAGAGAGAGAGAGAGAGAGAGAGAGAGAGAAAGAGCGAGAGAGTTTTTATATTATTGAAGAACCGAACGCAATCGCTTGCTCTCTGAATGTTTTCCTCAAAGTACGAAGTATGGTCTATATACATAGTAAGACAGAGAGGGAGAGACAGACAGAGATTGGGAGCGAGAGCAAGAGATTATCATATTTGATCACAGTATTCAAATGCGAATTATTCTATGTAGTCTTCGTCACGCTCATATGCACTCAACTACGAAGGGCCCTTCAGAAAGGGTATAATCGGTGTGGCTCTGCTAAAAGCTTCAAATGGAATTTTAATTTATATTTAATATGCAGCCTAACGAAAATAAATAAATAATAAAAACCATTAGCTCACAATCAGCGAAATTAATTAATTTTCATTTTTCAAGTGCTATTTGTATTTGTTGGTCTGCTTTTCTCTCTGCCTCCCTCTCTGGCTCCCTCTCTCTCTTGCTAATTTGCAGTGCTCATAAAATCCCGTTAAATGAGCATTAGATGCTGATGCGTAGGCTGATGCCATTTTTTATTGCGTCCGGGGAGAAAGAAATCAAAATGAAACCCAAACAAGGCGAGAGTTAATTGAATTTATTGTGTTGTTTTGCCATTATATTGCTGCTGTTCCTTGCTCTCGCTGTTGTTGTTGTTACTGGTGTTGTTGTTGTTCTTGTTTTTCCATTGCTTTCAGGGCCAATATGCTGCGCCATTTGTTAAAACGCGCCGCACTTGCCGCTCAGAATTTGGTATTTTAATTTGGGCTTGTTTTTCTTTTCGTTTTCGTTTTGTTGTTGCTAACATTTTTTCGTTGTTGTTGTTTGCTTGCTTTTGTGTTATGAGTGTAAATTTACAGTAGATCTTTTTTTTTGTTTTTTTGGTTTATATATATATTTTTTATCACCATAAATTGGTTTTCCTTTTTTGGCAGCCACGCGGCGAACTGGTCGTATGTTAGGGCTTGGCATAAAGCTTGCCCTGGCTTTTAGGAACAATTTTCACTTGCAGCGCCATTTCGCCATTTTGTTGGTGGTTCGTGTGCGTGCGTGTGTGTGTGCGTGCGTGTTTATGTGGCGGCCGTCTGGCTTCAGCTAAGTCTTTGTGCTTTTCCATTTGTCTGCATTTAATGGGCGACCGTGCACCAAAAGAGGTTTACTTTTCGACATTTGGCTGCCGCGGCTCTCTCTGCACTTGTTTTACGATAATTTGCGGTTTGCTTTTTTTTTTGAAAGGCTCCTTTATTTAGCTCTGAATTACCTGTGGCCCTAACAGCGCACTCTTTGTGCCTAAATTAGTCTAACTCAATTTCGCAATAAAGTAAAAAAAAAAATACAACGAAGCAAAAAGTTGTGAAACTTTAGTAAAATGCTCTAAGCAAAAACTTTTTGTTTGTTTCGCCAGCAGGAGTTTGGTATCTGCTTGGCACTTGACAGTTTGCCATTTAAATTTGCAGCTTAACAACTTTTTAGTGCAACTATAAATTAAATTGTTTTTATAAGCGCAGTTTTTGTTTATATTGTTTATATACATACATACATAAAACGTAGATATGAACGTATAAAATATCATTTTTTCACTCTGTTTATTTTTGCTCTTTTGGCTTTGGTTGTTTTATAAACTTCGTCGCTATCTATATTTTTCTTTACCTCTGTGCTCCTCTTTATGTTGTTCTTTTTTCTTAGTTTACTCTTTCAACACTTTTAGATTGCTTTTGCTATTCAAATTTATGCATACAAACGTTGCTTGTTATAAACTGCAGCACTGCAGATAGAAGCAGGAAACGGGTAAAAAAAGAAAGAGTAATTATTGTTACTATTATAAATATGTTTTATTCTACTATTGCTCAATTCAATTATATTTTCAGTTAATTAATATAACATAAATTTATATACACTGCGGCTCATCAGGTTTTCCTTTATATTTATAGAAATGATTTCGACTTATCAAAGACAGCCAATTATTTTAAGCAGTTTTCATCATTATTGCTATTTTCTTTTTATCAGAGTTACATTTTAAGACGCTTTTTCATGGCTGTTTTCCCTCTGGTGTTTTTCTTGCAGATGCCTGCCATCCGTACGAGCCCTTCAAGTGTCCCGGTGATGGTAATTGCATTTCCATACAATATTTATGCGATGGTGCACCCGATTGCTCCGATGGCTACGACGAGGACATGCGCCTTTGCACTGCTGGTAAGTCCCTGAGACGAAATTTCTACTGACTTTCAGTTGAAGCTGGCTTTAATTGTATGCAAACTGTTGGCCATGTGGTGGGCCATAAATAATTGGCCAGCTGAATCAATGCTAGCAAATCGAGCAATTTTGATTTGTGGGCTGCCAGCAACAAGCTGCACTCGAATTTTGTGCCAAGCACATCCGAAGGCTTCTTCACTCATGGCCGCCCGGGCTGCTCCCAGCGGGCATTCGGCAGAAACTGTCAAATTGCTCTCTCAAGAAATCAGCAGGAAATTAAAGGCCGTATTTCAATTAGGCTGTCTGGCTTTGCTGGCATGTGTGTGCTTGCGCGTGAGTGTGTGTGTGTGCTATGTCAAGGGCATCTAGCCATGTGCCAAGGGCTCAAGCAACTGAGCATCTATGGCTGACAAATGCAGTCTGCTACCCCTCTCGGGCAACGGGCGACTTGTTAAAACTTGCAACACGTTTTCCAATTTTCAATTTTCACTTGACTCTAATCAAATTAAACACAGAGTTGCAAACTTACGCAGCAAATCTAAAACTTTTCACTTACCTGTCCATTTTTACGGTCCGAGAAGCTGCACAATTTTATTTTTTAAGAAATTCTTCTTGATGGCATTCCACAAAACTTCGATCAAATCAGAAAGTTAGACGCATAGCACTGCTTTGAAAGTTGAGCATGCAACGGAAGCCATTGCATATCGCATCCCTTGAAGCTGAGCACGTGATGTCAGCGAGCATAAGATATAGAGCATGTATGGTATAATATTTGTGAAACCAATCCAAGCAGATATGGACATTCAGCAAAAAGTTTACTTGGTTGGCAGAAAAATGCATGGTGAATATCGTGAGGCTATTAAACTGGAACTGTCAACCTGTTTATCTGGGAGCAGATAGAAGATATAGATTGGAGATAGATAATAGAGATTAGAGATCGGAAGACAGAAGATAGAGATTAGAGATAGGGTTGGAATATGGACAGCTGTAGGAATACTTTGCCTCAATCGAAATATGAAACTATTAATTTGGCCCTATATATATATATATTCATATTATATCATAATCAGCCGTTTTTCAGGACATCTCCTTTTGTAATAGAGTCTTCCATTCAATTAAAATCATTTTTAATTTGCTTCACTTTGTAATACTTAATTTATGCATTTATACATAAATCTTATGCATAATTCAACAAGTGAAGTGGATTTCAGGTGGGAGCTCTTAACCTGCCTATCTGCTTAAGGCATAAATTAAATCAATCAATCTACTTGAGATATCGTTTTAGACAATAATTCCCTCCTTCGAATGGCAGCTGATTTATGCGCCTGAGCAATGCCAAAGACTGGCGTACAATCAGCAAAATAATTAAACAAATTGCACGATAATCAAGGCGAAATTAAATTCATTTTTGGCATTGTGGCTCGCGATGCAAATCTTGTAATAAATATTGAGCAACGTGCGGCAATTTATAGCCACTGCGCCATAAAGATATTTCCCGGCACATAAACTAGCCGAAGAGACAAAGATATGTACTTTTAGTTTATTTCTGGAGTTACGCACTGATGGCGAGCAAACAATGGGAAATTCATTTTCGGGCAAAGACAACAAGGCCAGGCATGGCAAGGCAAGGCAACGGGCGAAACTTTAAGCAAACAGAAAATTGCTGCCACTAATTGCCCCAATTCACTTGACTAAGGCCTGAAAGTGGGGGCAGCGGATGGGGCTGACGCCTACACAGGCGTCGTTCGACCCCTCTAGACTCTGCTGCCAGGACACGCAGCGGCCGCAGGGCACCGCCCAGCCCACTGAGGCGTTCATTTTACGTGTAAACCATTGTTGCTTGTACTATAACAAAAACCAAAATGAGCAAAGCAGCACAAAGAGAAAAAAAAAAAAAAAAAAAAAAAAACAACTATTTTCGACAATGAAATCATTTAGGAAGTGTCGGTCTCGGTCTTGGTTTCGGTCTCGGTTTGGGGCTGCAACTGGCACCGGGTCTAGTTATAGCGCCTGGCTCAAATGTCTTTGATAAATTATGCGCCACACTCTATCTAGTTGCCCTAAGCCCGCTGTTGAGCGTGGGGCTAAATGGCAGACTAAGTTGAGCCTTGGCAACGGAGCTGCTGCTACATTACACTTGCTGCAAGGCTTCCATTTCAGCCAATTCTGTTCTAAATTGAGCGTGGCGAGGGCATTAGATTCCATAGAAACTAGATATTCATCAGGTGGGGCCCAGGCAAGGGAATACGTTTTTAATAAACATTAATTAGCCAAGTTGCCGCAGTTCATGGTGGTTTCTAGAGCTTAATAAGTGACCGGTGGGTTAAAAATCAGAAAGGTCAGACAGAGAGAGAGTGAGAGAGAGAGAGAGAGAGAGAGAGAGAGAGAGAGAGAGA